AAGAAATTTAATAAAATTTACTACTCTGCAATCCATTGAGCACTTCCTAACTTAATTGTCATATTCTGCATTTCCTGAGATTTACAATTAAAATCATGATGAGCCAGACATACAACTATTCTTTTTGTGGCAAGACAGGTTATTAGTGCTTTATCAAAATTACCTAGGATTTTCATTTATAAAATAAAAACTTTATTAAAAATTGATTTCACCCATGTATGAGTAACCTATATATGATATATTTTAAGATAAAATATTCCTTAAACACAATTTTCTCATACTAACCACCACACAAATAGATAGCTCAATTTACTATTTATGCCTATGCCAGATCCAGTTAATAAAAAAATAATAGCTCTGACATTTTATATTTTTCAAGGATGATCAAATAAGAAATGGTCTCCAGACAAGAGTAAACATTCATTGTGATTGAGGAACATATACTGTTGCTTAGATTATTGTCACTAGTCACTGATATTACTTCCTAAATCTTTAAGACTACATCATTGAATTAACATAATATTTTGTGCCCACTTTTAAAGCTAACTGTAATTTACAGAGAGGACAGTACAAATCTGAAAAGATCACATTGCCAATATCATTGCTATTGTGTGTGATAACTATGTTGTTTACAAATAGAAAACAATATGGAAGCAAAAATCAAGGATTGATTTTTATTATATTCTTCTTAAGTTGTTTATCTTTAAAATGTTTTTGACAGTTTCCAACTGAATTCAAAAAATAAGCTATTCCTTACTAAACATAGATACAAAAGTCTATCCATCTACATGGTCATTCTCCTATTTGTTCTTTCAAATGTCTTCAGTGAATGCAATCATAATGGAAAAGGTAGGCAAGATAATGACCTTGGAAATTGTTGCATATAAGAAATGAATGAGAGAACCAACTTTGAGAAGTGTTTATTTATTCCTTCTACTATGCTTTCAACAATTACTAAGTTCTGAATATTGGGCTTGATGACAGGCTGATTAAGAAAATGGCAGCGCTATTAACAGAGAAATCTGAGAAATGAAGACCAATTCCAGGTAACACAGGTAGCCTTCTAACTTTCATTTTGACCAGTGTCAGTCTTGCTTGGAGTTCTTGACTTGTTTAAATAGATCTGTATTTAACATATGAATAGTTCTTGTTTCTATAACAAATTTTATGGCTAGAAAAATTCAATTCTTTCAAAATCTGCATCCTAAATATAAAATGGAATTAATGCAGTCCACTTTACATGAGTGCTGATAATTGCTCAATGAATGAATGAATGCATAATAAGAAAATGAGAAAGGCTATACAGAATACCTTTTAGAATGTTTGATAAGAAAAGTGAAAACAGAAAGAACCATAAAGAAATACATACAAGTTATTATTTTTCTCAACAGGGAGAAACAGTCCTAATTTTATAAAAAATAAAATAAAGTAAAAAGCTATGAAAATGCTTCCTCTGACTATCTTTGGAAAATGGCCTTAGGAATGAGATACTATTAGATTCTAATTTTCTAGGCATCACAAAATACAGCTCTTGAACTTTATCACTTTCCTTTTCAACAAAAACAACAAAATAGGTATAGGCTAAGGTGAAAAAACTAAAATATACCCTAGTTTTCTTTACCACAGAAAGTAAAATTCTCTTCTTCAGAAGCTAGGCAAGAGCACAAAAGTTTTCCTTGATAAAATAGTTTATTATTCTGAAATAATCCTGTTCAGAGTTCACACTGAGTATCTTTTCATAAGAAATTATATAGCAGCACAATTAAAATGAAATACTAATTGTAACAAGAAAAGATGGAGGCTGCAGAACATAATTCAGCCTTAACAGATTTTCTAATGCCTTTTTTTTACACCAAAGGGGAGTAACCCTTCAGCCAATAAAGTAAATTTTCTGATCTCCAAATGGATCCTTTATCCTTATTCAGGCTGATATTGCAGTGGCATCATGAATTTCTCTGACAGCTTTGTGAATCAGCAGAGTATTTCAGAGGCGAACACTGACTGTTAAAAGCAAAGTTGTTATTTTTTTAAACAGTCTTTAAACTAGTAAGTGAAACATTTCATTTGGGGTCAAGGATGCATTTACTAGAAACAAGGAAGAGCAGAGGGGCTGAACCATTTGAGAAGGACTAGAATCATGCTCCCAAATCGGCCAAACCTCAAATGATACAGTTTTACAGGTCAAAACCTTTTGATTTTTTTTAGTACCCAGGTCCATAATTCTTATTTTCAAAGACCTCAAGCATTAATAGCTCATAAAATATCACCCTTTATTTCTAGAGAATCTTTGAAAAGCCATTAACTATTTTGTTCAGAATAAACTGAGTTCTAGAAAAAAACCCTGATTTTCTATTTAAATAACTTTTACAAAAGAAAATTAAGCCAATAAAAATGTGCTACCACGTTCCAACACTGTTGTAGGAGTACTGATGTAATAAGATACACTCATTTTCCTCACTCTGAATTATACTAGCGAAAGATGACACATATGACGATATGCAATGTTAAAGGCCAAGTCATGACATCTAAGATGGGGATACATCTCTCTTTCTTTGTTCTAGTGCATTTGTGAATATTTTTGAATGGCTTCATAGGGTGAAGTTGAAATTTATGTCTGATTTAGTCTTAAATATCTTAATGTAAACTTAGCTTTCAAATAAAACCCATTTTTACTTTGCACTTTTTATTGATGTAAGGGTATATTTGAGAGTTATGACTTCAAGCAATAGCTTTAAAATATTACAATAAATACAAAATGAGTTTGAGAGTATATCATATTTATGAAAATATGTAATTCTGATGGTTTGTCTTATTTGAGAACTCAAAAATATACATATATAAATAGAAGATAGAGAAATAGGATTCAAGAAGTTCAGATAGAAATCTGAGTTCTCTATTTTGCTGTTTCAAAAATATTTCAGTATATATTTTAACAAATACTAATTTTTCATTTATGCTACTAGCTTCTCTTAATTTATTGAAAAGAAAGTTTTGTGCTTTTATCTATTTGTTTCTTTTTTGTAAGAGAGTCTTTTTGTCCATGACTTGTACTCTGAGTACCATTTTAGTCATCCCTTTAAGACTGTGGAACACACTACCTCACAAGCGCAAGGACCCAAGTTCGATCCCCAGTACCAAAAAAAAAAAAAAAAGACTATAGAACACATAAATATTGTTATTTTCTAATTTTATTGTGAAATTTTGTTTTATTTTTAATAAAATACGTAGTAGTGAAATTACTTTATATGTTCAGAAAATTGTTTCTTATGCAGAATAATTTTTGTATATGACCTGTAACTTCTTTATTTCCTTGGTTTACATCCATGTATATACTTCAATATTTATATCTGTAGTCTTGTGTCTATTCACTTGTCTGTGAGGAGTAGGGGTATACAGTGTGGACAATTTAAACCTCAAATTTTCTGTGCCCTGAAGCTCCATAGTCTTCAAGTCATCATTCTTTAGTTTCCTGTTAGTTGTCACCAATCTTTTAAAACTCTTGAAACTCTTTACACTGCAAAAAATTGTGTTAGGATAGTAGTTTCAATGTAATTTATTTCATTATTATATCTATATCTATATCATTATATACATATATTTTCAATTCATATTTTCCTCTTAAATAAGTTTAACCTCATCCCAAACACTAATAAATTCAAATCACAATTTGATATTATGTGTGTGACACTCTATTAAATAATAAAATTAATATATATTTACAGATATGTACACCATTTAAGTCAGGGATCATAAAGATCCAGATACTAAATAATTTATTTTTTGTTACATTCAGTCTCTGGCACAACTATATAACTCTGCTGTTGAAGTGTGACGATAGCCATATACAATAAGAAGATAAATGGGCATGGTTTTGTTCCAATAAAACTTTATTAATAAAAACAGCATGCTAGATATGGAGCATGGGCTATAAATTTCAGAGCTGTGATCTGCACATGTGGCATATCATCATTCTTTATGTATTAATATTTTAATATAATTCTTTATGTTGATAAATATCTGACCCTTTTCTCCTCCATGAGTAGCACTCATCCTCAGGTATGGTATGTGTCTGCTAAGATCTGCACAATAGTAAATAAATTGAAAAAAAATCATGCTGGTATTTCTGCTTAGGAAAGGACAGATATGTCTGCTGATTGGCATCTGAAAATTCTCCACCAGTGTTCTTAGTATAGTTTGAAAAAAAAATGTGGTGTCACTGAAGAGATTTGGAAATGTAAGAATATATGTGTAATAAAACATTACATTTATTACATTCGTTAATAAAATGTATTGTTGGCTATGTATCAGGCTTCACTATTAAAACATAAATTCACTGAGGGGAAGGACCTTGAATATTGTTTTGTTTCCCATATGTTCTTGCATACAGTGATTTTTCACATTTATTGAATAAACGTTTAATGAATTGGGAAGGATTTAGAAAATAAAGAAAAAATCACAAGAAATATTTTAGTAAACAATGTTCACATTTATTTGCAGACGGTTTCTTGTTAAAAATACAAAGTTCAGTCATGATATTAGAGATGCATTACAAATATATGAAAAACAAGAGATTATGTGGATTAGAAAGCAAACTACAGTGGATTCTTACAAACTTGATCATTTCCCAAGGGCTAGTTGTAACTCAAGTTGGTTGTAAGTCAATACAGCTGAGATCTGAATATTTATCTGGGTATACACTATAGACAACAAGAGGCAGATGAATATTCCATTAACCTAACTCCAGTTGTTTGTATGTCAGGCTGGTCATAACTTGAGGGTCCATTGTATATGTATCACAGACTACATGTACCTAGAAAATAGTTAACTAAGATAATAATAACTGAAGACTTCTCCTGAATACTTAGGAATATTTGAATATGGAATAATAGGAATATTTGAAAATGAATAATGTTAAAGTTTTACTATTCTTTAATTCAGTTTTTAATATGGTATGTAATATTCTTATTTGATTAACTAACATCTTTTTCTTTTCCTTGCAGCAAGATTAAATTTAAGAGGCCATTTAAAGAAGCACAGCATTTGTCTACTGAACACTAAAGTATCACTCAGGAAGATATTAAGTAAGTGAAAGTTATGAAAAATACTCTGGTGAATGTGTTCCATTAAAATTGCCTGTCATTTTCCCCAACGCATGCAGAGTTCTTACTATTCTCACCGAGCTTCTCTAGTTTGTTAGGCAACTAACATACCATTTGTATTGAACTCCCTATTTACTCAATATACCATATCAGTTTCAAATGGTTATGGGTAATCGTTTAAAAAAGGATATACTTTAAAAATAGCTTTGATAAATATTTACAAGACTGGCTCTAATGGATCTGACAGATACTTCCATTAATGGATATATGGAGGGGTTATCTCAGGAAAAAAGCTAGCACTAAAAATAAGATAAAGAGTTTATTGAAAAACACATTAGAACAGGATTCCCTCTACATTTTAATATCCAATTTGATGTTTAAAGAGTTGATCTTTTTTTAGTTCATGGTTATCAAACATTACTTGTACCAAGAAGCTAGGAAATAGTGTATCAGAAATAGTAATAATCTTTGTTACCTAGAAAGTACAGAAATGGCAAAAACGTGTAAAAACTAAATAACAAAATATAAATTCTAAAATTCCAAATGTATCAATGGATTGGATGATTTAGGGAAAGAGCAAAAAGAATTAAAAGAATAGCAGAAATTTGAAAAGATACTTCTTCAATGATGAAAATACAATAATTATTTACATAGTTTTTATAATTTATGTATTATAAAATATATGGATATACATAATCACTGTAACATTACAAGGTTGTTCAAAAAGTATCTTTTAAAAGTTATTATCTATCTATCTATTTATCTGTCTATATCTTCCTATTCATTTACTGAACAGTGCAATATATTCCTTTCTGGCTTATCTGTCCTTTTAAATTTTCCTGCACAGAGAATGTATTACTTTATAAAAACATTAATTATATTTGAATAATATAACATTTAAAGGTTTGCAGACCACTTTTTTTAAACCATTAATTAATCAAAACCTCAACTAGTCAATACATGACAAAAATGTTAGTGAAGCATAAAATTTCTACATTCTTATTTTTATCATAAATGATGTATGTTTATTAGAGTTGCACCTCTAGAAGTTATACGCTTATTGATAATGCAGTTTGCTTTTAAAAGTCAATCCATTCATGGCAGATAACAAGACATCTGGTGGCAGCTAGTGTCTGAGAGTATTGTTAGGCAGATGGTGAACAATAGTAAAGTTTTACAAAAGATCTTCATTGAAAAGCACAAGTAGGTAGCAATTTAAGAATCAGGCAGTTTCATTTGAACCAGGGATTTACATGGGCAAAATCCTCTTACAAGATTTCAGCTATTCTTCTGAAAGCATAAAGTGAAAGCATAAACTTGTCTCAAGGGGGTTGCACTGATATTTATTTAAAAGTTGCATGTACAAAAGCTCCTATGTCAAAACTTTAAATATCTTTGATAACAAATTTGTCAGAAGACATCTGCACTTTAAGCTTAACCCTTTAACTAGAGAAATATATGTTGTACTGGGGTAGCTTCTGGTTAGCTCCAGACCTTTGCCAGGACTCTGCCATTAGCTGAGTGTCCTTGGGTAAGTCACCCCATCTGAGTCTCTATTTTCTCGTGGGTAAAGAGAAACATTTAAATTACAAAATTCGCCAATTTGATAAATCTTAAACGAGTGTGTCACTGAAAAAAAGGTTCTTCTACCAATTTAAAAGTATGTGAAGTGGTCAGTCCGCTGCAGACAGGCAGGTCTGCGCACGCCCTACC